TCGTCAGCTGTGCGCGTCCGCTGAAGTGCGGCGGCTGAATGAACGTCCATTTGGGCCGATGGATTGCTGGCAGTAGTCCATCTGAAGCTTAACTGAACTTTTTACCTCTTTCAAGGCTGGTCAGCGCATGGTGAAATGGCTGCATGCAGCTGGTTTTATATGGTAAGCCATGTTGCCATATAATTGGATCATCAGCCATGCGCATCCGCTGACGCAATCAAAAGCCCGACACCGACCCGGTCCACACGTGCACATTATTATGGCCCCGCCCTAATCTGGGTCGGGCGGGGCTGGGCTCTGGGTTCGGGTTAGAAATGACTGTTCAATGACTGTTATATAATTTCCCTCTGGGATTAATAAAGTATTTTTGAATTGAATTGAATTGAAGTCTTGAACCCAAACCAGGCAGATGAACCAAACAGAACCACATGGAGCCAGTCAATAAATACAAGTGGTCATTTCAGTCGCAACCAGAACGCCTTAAGCTTTGTCAGATTGTTTCTGCTGTAAATTTTATATATTTGGTATATCTTTTTAGCTTTAGTCCGATGTGAGGTTGTTTAATCCTTAGAAGTAAAGTGTTGATGAGATTTTTCATGTTTCATGATAAAACTGGTTTTAACTGAACGACAATCCCCTTGGTAATATCACCCGTCTATTGCTGTGCTTATATTTGTTGTCTTTTAAGCCACTAAATTAGTTTTTCAAAATATTTATTTGTGTACTCATGCATTTAAAAAGCATGTTTAATTTTTATAAAACGACTATGAGAAAATGTAATACCACTCGAATACCCTGAAGTTTCTAATGTACATGGATTAAAATAGAAAAAATATGACCCAATTTCTGCAATATTTATTATTGTTCTTTCAATGGCTCATTTCCTGTTGGCTTTTGTCAGTCTACACTCATCAATTTTCATTTGGTATGTCTATAGTGTGATATAGGTCCAGTACAATATGCTTCATTACTATTATTGTATGAGTCATGATCAGGCCAGCAAGATATTTCTGTGTTTTTTACTTCTTTGTTCCTCCAATGCTATCAGAAGCATGCCAAGTTTAGTGTGGGAACGACAAACATCTCTTGTACCCAAGCTCTGAAGTGCCAGCAGTATTATCACACAGTAGGTCTCTTTCGTTTTAGTTTCAGACTGGGCTCTTATGAGCAGGATTAATTTAGAGTAGCACAAAGCCAGTGTTAGCTGTGGCCATGTCAACACGACTAATAAGTCTCTGGAGTTGTCAGCGGCACCGTGAGGTGTTGAGGAAAGGAGAGAAAAAGAAAAACTGGCAAACAGAGAATGATTGAGCAGGAGAGGATAAGACAAATGATGGACAGTAGTCAAAGACAAATACAGCAACTGTGTTTGTGAGGACTCTAAAATATTTAACTCTTGCTGAATCTAAAATTACTTTTTTTTTTTTTTTTTACCGTCTTCAAATTCAAAGCCTACCTTTAAGTCTATAACAAATACACAAATGTAATCAGTTTATGCTCCTCACTAAAACAAAATTTAAATAACCTAAGCAGAAAAATTAGCCTTCGTTAATCGATGAATGATTTTGTTTCACAGCCTGGTAGAGTGTCTTGTTCTTGTGTCAGGAGTTCAATGAGCTCTATGAAGGAGAGACTAAATGGTTCTTACAACTATAAGAGGCAGCTCCTCTTCTTTTGTGTGCGCACTGCATTACAAAATTACAGTGGCCCTGAGGTGTAAATGAACAACATTTGAAAAAACGGAATTACATTCAACTCAACTCAATTCAGTTTATTTATATAGCGCCAAATTACAACAAAGTTGTCTCAGAGCACTTTACAGGAACGTTCACATACATAAAAGCCAATTAATAATGTTCTGTATCTAAGGAATCCAGCTGACAAGTTGAATCTTGGGCTTCGTTGCAGTCTCCCTTCTTGAGCAAGCACAGTGGCAACAGTGGAAAGGAAAAACTCCCTTTTAAAAGGAAGAAACCTCCAGCAGAACCAGGCTCAGGACAAGCGGCCATCTGCTTTGACCAGCTGGTTGAGAGGACAGGAAGGAGAGACAGACGAACACAGAATGGTAGGTCCAGGTATGAGTCCAGGTGTACCTGAAAGACAAAAAAAAAAGAAAAGAAAAAAAAAAGCCGAACTGGGGGACAGGGTGGACAGTTGACTCAGGGACTCAATTTATTTTTAATAATTTAAGCATAAAAAAAAAAAAATTGATATCATAAAAGTCATTAAATTAAACAAAATTATTTTAAAAATGACATTTTTTTGTATTTATTAATTAGAATTGTAACTTAATTTTAGGAAACATGAAATGGGACATGACAGTAAACCCAAGTTGCATTTAAAATTAGATTTCATTATTTTTAAATAAATTCATATGGTTGTGTTTTATAGTAGGGGGAGTCAAACATATAAAGTGAGATTAATAAAATAAATATAAGCCCACCATTTAACAAAATATACCACATTATGGCATGGGGACTTGAAAGGCACCGAATAGTAGGAATGACCCTATTGTACATTGTTCTGTTTTATGTTGTTAATAAAATAATAATAAAAAAACCCACACACACAAAAGAATAAACACCACTTCCGGTTTGGTTTAATTTAATTTTGTTTTGTCAAAAAAAAAAAAAAAAAAATCAAATTTTTTCAAATGATGTTCATTTACACCTCAGGGCCACCGTACAAAATGGCAGATTACTGTAATTCATAAAACTGTTTTGCATGAAATTTTTATTTTGCTCATAAAATCTGAGCTTTTCTAGGATGAGAATAAACTATGCAAATGTGTTGCACAGCTAGTTGAAACAGTGTAAGTGTGTGGAGATTGGTGCAGCATATGCTCAGCCAAATATTAGAACCCACTATTATGAGAAAACTTGCAAACAATGGCAAAAGTTTAGCAAATAAAAGCACATTTCTTAATTTCTCTAGATCTAAATAAAAGGTGACAGAATGGAGTGAAAATGTCCGTTTTTCATGTCTCTTGTGTGAAACATGCAATATAACTGCTGGAGGGTTGTTCTGAAGTCTCAGGATTCCTGTCAGTAGAGCAAATGCAGGGAAACAAAAAGCCCTCTAAGGTATGCCATCTTGTGGGCAAAGCTCTCTCTGAGTCACTGTCTTCCCTGGAGACTCCTCACAGTCGGTCGGACATGTTCAGAATATCTCACAGAGAGAAAAATCCTTTTGATGCAGAGGAGTAGCAGTTCTCATCCTGCATCAGCTGCTTCTCATAGTTGTCCTCTTGTATCGACAGGTTTTTTTCTTGATCACTGCTGAAAGATGAGAACCATAATTATTTGAAAAGAACTTGGAGATAAGCACCTCCTTCAAGTAACAACTAGTGCTTTTAGCTTGTGGGATTATATATTTTTACTCTAACCTTAACCAAGTGTCCTATCAAAACCTTTACACTTTGACTTCTAACAGAACTTTAATGAAGCTTATCTTTGTTCAGTGTTTTGGTCACAGCTAAGCTTTCAGGGCTGATTTGGAAAGTGACCTCCCACTTCATGCTCTCACAAATATACCAAAACAAGACCGATACACACAGCGAAACACATAAACAGCACAATCAATAGATGCTCGAGGCTTTTTGACCTTTTTTTGATTTGCACGTGGGCAGAACGTTCACCAGTGTTGGCTTGTGTTTGGTTTGCTGCCAGTTTTATATCGTCAAGCTCTATATCTTGTAAACACTTGTATTAACTTCCACAATGATGGTAAAATGTATGATCTGAAAGCTGATTTTACTTTTAAATGCTACTCATCAGACACAATAACCTGAAATACATTTTGGAAAACATTGTTAAGGCTTTTGTGCTGATTTTTTCAATTTATTTTAAGTTTGATAAGAAAACTGAGTTCAGTCCTGTGCCAAATATAAATCTACAGGTAAAAGTTAAGACTAAAAATTAGTGTGACAGTAAATTTGCTCATTAGCTTATTTAAAAATCTGTTTAATAAAGCCATTTGGTAATTGTCTTGAACTCACAGAAAGTTTTGTTTTTATTAAGGAAAACATTTTTTGGCAAATGAAAAGTCATTCTTCAAACTTAAAAGCAGAACTAAATATAGCCTACATTTAAAGTTTGCAATGCCACTAAAATGAAATATCAATCTCTTCAACAAACATAAAAGATTGTAAAACAATCTAGTTATATAAAATTGGCTTTAACATATTGCAAAAATGAGCCATGTTTTTGCTTTATAGTGCTGGATTGTGTCAACACAGCTTGATGAGAGAAAAAACTCAGACTAGCTTAAAAAAACAGACAATTTTAGCAACACAAAGGCTAACAAAAACGAGCTAATTTTTAGTAAACCCAAGCTACAAAAAATGTAAAATGCTGCAAATTGCACAAATAGTGCACTATTATCCTTTATTGCAGCTTAAACCCATTAGTAGAGCCTGGCTATTATTAACTGTTGCAGAGGTGTATCTGTTTTTGGCCAATTTGTTAAACTAGCACATGTTATAACTAACATGTCTGCACAAAATCATCTGATAGAGCTCTGAGTGATTATAGTTCTGTACTACTCTCTCAGTAAAGACACATCTTTCTACCCTCTGTTGTGCAGCAGCTTTTTCCCCAAATTAATCCAGGGAGAATAACGCCAAAATTACACGTAAACTTTCCTAAAATGGGACAAAGAGATTAACTTAGTCTTTCAATGTGCTGATCACAAACCTGATTCTCTGCTGATGTGCTGAACCTTCAACATTTTGAAGTGCCCCGATTCAGCTTTGCTGTTTCACTCCTCAAAAACAGTTTTGCACCGCTACAATGAAAGCGGAGTAATCAGCTTTCCAGTTTTCAGAAACACAGCTCGATAATACAGTTGGCTATCCTGAGACCTTTTTTTTATTACTGTCCAACCTATAACTTTACAGTTTTATGAGCGAGTCAAGCAAGGCTCTTCTGACTTGAAAAGTAAAGTAGACGCGCATCACTTCCTGTCAACCTGTAATAACCTTTCTTCTCTCATGTTTATAGGTCAGCTCAAGCTGTCAATCTTCAAAAAGCATGAAATACTTGTTGTCAGCGGTGAGTCATGTTAAATACAGGCTGCTCATATTAAACAAGACTGGTGTCTGTGCCTGTTTATCACCGTAATGTTTTAAGTAAATGTGATAAATATAACGGGAGTGCAACATTATTTTGTTTGGAAGCCTAATTTGCAGATTATAAATATGGATTGGCACACTGCAGATCACTAATCAAACCACAACAGGCAACAATTAATGATGAGAAGCAAAGGTTGGTGGTTACATTGATCCAACAAAAGTGGCTATTTATTTTAGTTTCCCAGCAACCATCCTGTTTTTGGTTTTGAAATGTCCATCTACTCTCTCAGCAGCTTTTGTGCTCCTGTTATTTCTCTGTGAAGGGCCCATTATTCCTTAAATTCCCACCTATTTCAATTCATGAATGTATAATCTTGTGCAATAGTAGAACTCTGCAGCAAAACATGCACTAAATGACTGAAAAAACGTATGTAAAAAAACCCCACAAAAACGGATGAAATCAGTAAGAAAACCAACAACCAATGTACAACGCATCCTTATTTTATATTGGAGTAAGTTTGTGAGGTGTTTAAGTTTATTTTATCAGAATTTTATTAATCTTAAAATAAATTTAAAGGATTCATAACTCTAGCAATAAAGCACATTCAGAATGAGCCTTTCCTGCAGTAAAGGCTCATTCTTATAGTGTTTCTCTTACAATCTTCCCATCTCGATTGAATTTCCTCCAAAATTTAGACACAGCAACAGCCAGCCTTCTTGCCACAATCTAACTTTCCTGTGTGAAACGAGCTCTTGTTAATGTTTCAACTCACATCTCTCTTGTGAGAACCATCAATCATCCAGAAGCAACAACTTTTTAAAGTTTGCAAAACAATATGTTTAACTGTAAACTTACACAACTTACAAACTAATATTTCGCCCTAATGGTTTTATATTTTGTTATATTTAAACTAAAACAAATGTTTTCCAATATACATCCAGCCGTTAAACAAGTCTTTAATTAAATGAGTGAATTATTTTGTATTTCCCACCAAAATAAAATAAATAAAAGCTGTCCAGGATTACTTGTAATTTATTTGCCACAACTAACAAACTAACATGTAGAATAATAAGAGAAATACATGTAATGTGTTTTAAATGACCCTGAAATATTATAAATGTGAAAAAAGATTTGAAAACTTTTCCTCGTTGTGCTTTATCTGTTCAGTTTTGGAGGCAAGGGACATGCTGGATGAGTGCCAGAGGTCATGTGACTCCTATGTTAAGGCAAGTGTTTTCGGTGTATACAGTATGTACAATAAATTACAGACTCTGTTAGAAAGTAGTTTGTCGTCTTGTTTTATTTCGCAGGTTGGCATGTTTCCTGATTCCGATCCTGGAGGGCGACAGAAGACTCAGATGGTTCCTCGCTGTCGAAACCCTGCTTTCTTACAGACATTTTACTTGTAAGTATTCAGACAGTTCACAGAGAAGTTTGTTTTTATGAGAAAATAGCAAGCCCACTGACAAAGGTACATTCAGTTTTGACACTCGTCATAAATCCACTTTACGCTGTGTTTGAACAAATCCAATACTACCTTAGTTGACTTATTTTCTCTTTCTTGTTGGCAGTGCAGTCAGTGAAGGAGACCTTCATAAGAGACTCCTCTTTACAGCGTGGAACTCTGACTCTACAACAAGGTATCTGCTGAGAAAGCTGCAGCTTGTGATTAGTGCTGATGACAATGGAACCAACATGGAAGAATTAACACGCAGCATTATAGTATTCAAAACACATGTGCACAAACGTAAGGCTAAGTGCCCTCTTCTCCAACTGCTGCAGCTGCATGTTTTATTTTGTCTCTGGAGTTGGCAGAGTGGATGTGTTGTTTGCTTTCCTGCTTCAGCAGACTTGAGCTGAAACAGGGTCATTGGATGTTTGGTCGAATGAATCACAAATGTTTCTGAGCTAAACGGTATTGAGAGGGCAGGAAGAAAAAGCATCGCTGTGCTCTGGGAACACAGAAAAATTCTATTTTGAGCATTTTATATTATACTGGTAACGACTTTCCATTGAATGTAATGAACCTAATTTTTCTATCTTTTTTAATATAAAGAATTTATGTCTCAATTTGATAAAAAAATAAATACTGCATAATGCAAGCAAGTGTGTACTGTACAGACATGCATAATGTAAAAAAATTTACACCGTTAGGATCAGACAAGCTCTTCTTTGGGACAGTTTCTGGAACACAAATTATTTGCAGTTATTTTTTTTTTTTTATTTTGATACAAATTTAAGCTCAAATCACATCAAATGTTTTCATCGTATTAATTTAGGAAATCTTGTCACAGCAAACATTACAGTAAAATTACACACATAAATATATTCTTCTGTATTTACAGGATGCAATCTATACCTGGATGCTTCAGTATGAGCTCATTTTATCATGCCGATAAATTTCTGATTTTATTTTCAAGACTTAATTTCTTAAGTCTTCTGCCTTTTTTAATGTTTGCAAAGGAACTGAGAATTAACATTTTTGTACATACTGCTTTATTTGTTCATATAATTTAACATGAAGACATTTTGTGCCCCATTGTACGTCATCAAGATGATATTTGCTTTCATTACAATAAACCAGTGAGCAGCTGTTCATGTGTAGACACTCACTTTAGAGGGAATGTGTTCGACATGACAGTACTTTATCTAGCTACCTAACGGTCACCAATGGTGTGCCACAAGGCTCAGTTTTAGGTCCCTCTCTTTTTACAATTTATATAAGCAATGTAGGTCTAAACATTCCTGATACATCCTTGTCTCTCTATGCTGATGACACTGTTGTTTATTGCTGAGCTAACACAATTGCCAAGGTTTTCCAGCTTCTACAGTCTACATTTGACATCATTCAGTCACTTATTTCACCTCAAGCTGGTGCTAAATGCTGACAAAACCAAAGGGATGTTGTTTTCTAACAGGAAGTTGATGCTAGCAACTCTTCCTCCTATCTCATCCATGCATTGGGTTCCTATTGCGTTTGTAGATTCTTATAAATACTTCAGAATTTTGGTCGATGCACATCTCTTTTTTTAAACCACATATCGAAAACTTGATAAAGAAACTGAAATTAAAACTGGGTTTCTTTTCAGAAATAGATCTTGGTCAACTCTGAATGCCAGAAAACGCCTCGTAACCTCTACCTTACTACCAGCCACTGACTATGATGACATTATTTACATGAATGCCCCTGCCAGCAGCTTGCAGATGTTGGATGCTGTCTACCATGGCACGCTAAGATTCATAACTGGTTGTAACTACCGTATCCATCACTGAACTCTGTACTCACTGGTCAGTTGGTCATCATTATCTACATGTAGGCTCTAACACTGGTTCATTTTCATCTATAAATCCCTCTTTGATCTGCTACCTTCCTATATGTCATGCCGTCAGTGCATGTGGGAGGAGATTGCACTCTAAGGCCATCATTACCTGCAGCATTCCCTCAGTGCAGACTGAACTTGGCAAAAAGGCCTTTTCCTACTCAGCTCTTGCAACCTGGAACAACTTACAACAAGAAATTAAATGAATTGTCCTCCTTGATTTCTTTAAGGGGTTTCAAACATTTGATAATGTCAATAGAAAAATCAAAGCAAATATGATCTTGTTTTTAGTATTTCACCATGTTGTATGGCACCCTGATTTATTTATTTTGGCTACATTTTTTACTGTAGTTTATTGTTGTCATTGTTTACTGTTTTGTTGTCTATACTTTATATGTAATGTCTGGAACAGGTCCCTCTTGTAAATGAGTCCCCATGGCTCAGTGAGGCTAGCTTGTATAAATAAAGGTTGAATGAATGAAAAAGATGAGCAACAGTAATCTGACCAACTTTATCAACATCTGCATTTTCAAGCACCTCCAGTAAAAAAAGGTCACAAAATCAACACGATGACTTCACTTGTATCTGCACTAGGATAGATATCAAAGGACTGGTTTGGGCCATATCTTAAATATAGAGTCATGCATACTGTACTGCTGGATCTTTCTTGCTCGCAAACGAGGTTGTGGACAACATGGACACATTATCAACAAACCTACATTCTGTGATCTCTGCAGGGTTGCTCTTTATCCCTGCAGCACCTGTGTTCATCTCAGAAGCAATAACAAGATCCAGCTGAAATGTCATGCGATGTGCTTATTCATCACGCCCTGCTGTTTGTTCTGCTGCTGTCGGGGAAGTTGTCTGAGGGACCGCCTCTTCAGCAAATCGTCTTAACCACCACTGAACATTTGCCAAAGAGCTGCTCCAACCAAGCTCAATTGATCTTTACACAAATACTTAAACCTCTGGGACGTAAAGACAAAATAACATTTGAATTTCACCTACACAACTTTTTATGAATTTTCCAGAGTTCCTGTGTCCAAATAAAGAAAAAAAAAAATCTGATTGTGGATGTTTAGTAGATAAATTAAATTTATTTCAAATATTGATCATGTTCATACACACTAACTGTTGCATTTGACAATAAATACACAATTAGGAAGTGAAAAGGAGTGGTGCAGGGATGAACTGCTGAGATTCTCTGCACAATCTTCTGTATTTAGACCAAAGTAAGGCAGAAACAAAACAGCATGAAGTTACCTTTTGCTGTTTTTCTACTTTATTTTATCTACAACCCCAACTCTGTGATGCTTTTTCCTAACAAACCCACTTTTCCTTTATATTATATATATTACATTATCCAGAATGATCACATTAAAAGTAAACTATTGATAATGATTTAGTTTTTAGCAGGTTGTTACACTTGGGTTATGGTTTATGGATAAGAAGCTGGTTGTTGTTCAGTTGGACTATAATTTGTTCGGGCATCTTAACCTGGACTAAAATTTATGTGAAATTACCAATCAGAGATATTTTAATGTAATTAAATTTATTGATGTCAGTTTGTGGAATAATTTCTTTACAAAACATTACTTGTATACTCTATTTGATGATAAAATCTAAATTTAATGCTGAAAACACACGTTTTCAGTGTTACTCTTTTAATGTGAGGATTATTTTTTCTGCCACTTGCTGTTTTTTGTACTGAATGCAGACAAGATGCAGGTCAGGTGTTGGTTTATCCTGACGTCCAGTTTTGTCATCAGAACAGCATCAGCAGCTGCACGGCTTGTCTCCAGCTGTGAGCTTGTCCAGAATTATTTTCGTCATGTGTGCAAAACTGAACATGCCCACTACAAAAAACATACACAAGCTGTCCTCACTCAATAATAAAATGCAAAAACAAGCATATTATATGAATCAAAATAATTTCTGAACTATAACATGTTCATTTTTTACCGATTTGAATTAAATTTATTGTTCTGCTTGTCGTTTTTGGGGATTATTGTCGAGCAGACATTACACATAAAGAGCTCAAACATTACATTCCTGTTGGATTTATTACAGAGTTGTATTTGCGTATTATACACCATATTGGAAAAATATATTTGAATAAAGGAAAAAATCAATGCAGAAGGTAAAATCAAACTATTAAAAGCAAAATGTTGATTAGTTTTCATTTATTTGGTTCACTTCAGACTACAGGATAAATAAAAGCATACAAACTGTTGCATTTGAATTAGATGAGACCCTGATTTTGCACCGGGGTATTTATTGATTTTCCTTTTACCAATTTATTTTCTCTGTCTGCCTCTCAGCATCAACAAAGCGAGTGTGCTGCTTGGCTGCATGAGCTTTGGCGTACGCTCCCTTATGGAGGCAGAAAAGGTACGTTTGAACACAGAGACCGCAAGTCTAAAGATAGTCTGTGTTCTTTTTAGCTGTCTGTGTGTCTCGCGCTGTGTGTTTCAACCATCAGACCATGATGTTAAGAGTTTAATTCAGTGTAGAAAAATTCCAGTGACCTTAATAGTTTGGAGGAAACACTTTGAGGTTACCAGTGTCACAGCACTGCAGTGTTGCCTCCAGATAAAGGAACGGGAACACAGATTGAGTCAGAGCCTCTCTGCTGAAAGGTTTTAGGAAACAGATTATATGCACACTATTTAGGCATTTCAGAGCATGATTTATGCCATTTACTGAATTAAAGTAAAAATATTCTAACCAGAGTGCTCCTATTTCAACTAGTATTTTTGTATTTTGATTTAAGACTTTTGTCTCTAGACTTCTCTGATCCAAAACGCTATAAACTTGTGGTTTTAAATGACTTTTCAACTTGATGTCGCTTATGTAATTTTTTTTAACAATAATAAACTTTACACAAAAATGGAAATTTGCGTACTCGAGTTGTTAATAAACAAATTAATACTGAGTTTATTGTGTAATTGAAAGTTTCATTTTACATGTCTGTATACTTGTTTCCATTTAAAGATAGATATGTTTTAGCATAGCATGGCACCACATTGTCACCAGCTGAGTTTCTTTTGCAGCTTTTATTAAATGAAGACGATATAAAAGGAAAAATGTGAATAGAAACAATAAAATAAAATTAAAATGTCTCACAGATGCGCAAAAGTTGTTATAGATTTATTTAAGGCTTTGTATTTTTTGTTTAAAGTTTATGCTTATTAGAGGGGTTGAAAAGACAATGTGCACATTGCAAAACAGATCTCAGTAAACTTGATTGACCAACTCGATATCAAATTACTGCAGAAATTTCTTTGTCTCCTTTCTCAAAATGCAAATCAGTTTTTATATTCAACAAATCTGAAGGTGATGTATTCCCTACTGCTCATAAAATAATTTAATTAGCACATTCCTCGCAATGGCCAAAAAGGACAATTTTTTTGCAAAATAACTGAAGTGGATCCGCACCATATTATCCTCCTCTGCCCATCCTCCTCATCAGTCTCCAGTTTTGTGAAATTCATAAAGTTTTTTAGTCGTTTTGTAAAACAGACAAGTGTATGACCACAGCACCATGTAAAGGTGGACACTAATGCTGAAATTCAAAACTTGAAATGCTGCCATGCTGTAAGAAACAAACAGGATTACCAGTGATATTTACATGTATAACTAGTATGTTTAAGTATCAGGGTTTGTTGGCTATTCATTCTGATTTTGTCTATTATAAAGTGATGCACCAACTAACAGAATAATACCATCACGCCTGCAGTCACACAACTTCAAACAGTGAAACAAACCTAAAAGTGTGTGTGTGTGTGTGTGTGTGGAGGGGAAACATTTTAGGAAGAGCATTTCAGAAGGAAACCTGAAAACAATTACTCCAATATATGCACTGTTCCAGTTGATATAAAGATGATGTATAGGTCCAGAATTTGACCATGCTCGATTGTTTATAGTGATGCACGATATTGGATTTTTGGCAGATATGTTAAAAATTATTTGGCTGATAACCGATACAAATACCGATATATATATATTTTTTCCTAGCTCTACTTACAGAGATGGCTTTCGCTGCTGTGGAATTATTTGGCGCCAAAAAGGGGCTGAAAACGATGCAACACTATATAAATATATAATATATATATATATATAAATCAGCACCTTTTATATCGGTGAGTTATTTTGATGGAATGTCCGATATTTACCTTTATCGCTAATATCGGCCGATACCATGCCGATAATATTGTGCATCCCTACGGTTTGGTCCTTGGGGTCAACCTCCCTTCATGTTTTAGATCCCCTGCTTTAACACACTTGGTTTATGTTGATGGGTGATTAAAAGGATTTTACAAAAAAAGATAAATTGTTGAGGTCATTTATACTTTTGAGTCTGGTGCGTCACAGCAGGAACATATTTAGGATAGTGGACAGGCCAGGACTGGACAACACTGCTGTTTGATGCCATAAATCATTTTCTTACCTCTTTCCTCTCACTGTTTAAACATTATCTCTAATTTATTTTCTGTCTGTTCACTGTTTATGCAGATGGGCACATTTTCTTCCTGCCCCATAGTCGCACAAAAATCCCAAGTGTCTTGGTTAGTGCATGCACATAATTGGCATGTAATATTTCAGGGCCTGGGTGTTATTCATTTATTTTGCATTTGTCATTTGTTAGTTATTATGCACTGTCACTTTACTGTAAGCAGGTTCCTTGTTTGCGTTTTAGCTGTGCAGGCCTTTTTTGCGTGGCATTTACTTGACCTCCTCATGCCTGAGTTGGTCTCTTGTTTGGGAACTCTGGCTTCTTCACACTGTCTTAAAATGTGTGTGTGTTAGAGGAAATAGTGAGTCTATATTGACTTTAGGAGTGGTTTTGTGTCTCTGATGGACTGGAGACAGCTGGACTAGGCTCATGAATAAAATGCATGAACAGAAAGAATTGCTTAATTCTGAAGCAATAAAAATATAATTTAACAAAATGTAGAAACTTCTTAAAGCGTATTTTCTAATATTAATAGTTTTTAGTCGTTGATATTGTATTTGTATTATTGTATATTCTTACATACTAATTAACTTTCACGTTTACATGGAAATTAAGCATCAAAACAAATTTCATTGAGGCTCACTGTTTGCTTCCTCTAACATTTATCACAATGAATATTTAATTGGCTTAATATGCTAATAAGAAAGATTTAGCTTTGATTCATAGGGAGTCCTGTCTCCTCATCCTCTGCAGCACATCCTTTGTTGTTTCATTCAATTTTTCCTACAAGTCAATTCCAGTATGCTTGCCTTTTTGTCGTTTTATTTCAGAAGCATTTTGAGTTTGTGTGTGTAGGCTGTTGTTTTGGTAACTGCTGTCACATCTTGTCATTTTGTCTTCACTCTTTTGTCACGTGGTGCTTTTTTCTTCTTTGCGTTCTTTATGCCCCAATCGAACGATGGATTAAATCCCTCCCTGTTTTTCAGGACACATGCCCTCCCCTCCCCCTTCTTCTAAATAAGTTCACTGCCTATCCTCCCCCTTGTTTCACAGCCGGCAGAAATCTGTTCACTTAGATAAGATGCTTTTTAAACGGAGATTATGGTCATTATCCATAGTGCCACATTATTCAGTGTGAAAAAGAAGACTGACTGTGCATATGTGTGTTGCAACAAATGTGTGATAGTAGAACTGTGGCAAAATTCAGTAGTCTTGTCAAGCTATTGTTAGTAACACAGTGCCCATCAGGATTATGAATCAGGTCCATTCTGCCACATGGTGTCATTTAACACACAGAATTGTTAATGAAAAAACACAGATGTACACTCACACACATGCAAACACACACAGTTTACAGAAGTACAGATGTTCAGGTACCAAATACTGGAATAAGTTAAAGCGTTGTGACTGGTAAATGTATGTGAGTACAGTAGTCTCGCGCTACTTCGCGGTTCATTTTTCACGGACTCGCTCTATCACGGTTTTTCAAAATAAGATTGGACATGACACACAACTGGCTGATTGATGGATGAGCCGCACGATCGGCATGGAATTTTTATTTAAAATAAATTATTTTAAATTATTTAGCACCTGTGTGCAGCCCACAGCTGCAGTAAAAGCTTCCTTTTGCACCAGTGTGCAGCCCAAGCTGCGATGCAGGAGAAGCATCTTCATGCAGCACATCTTCCGCTCTGCACTGGAGAAGTGGGCGTGGCCAAGAGCGCTGGCAGGTGGAAGAGTGCAGCTGTGGCAGAGAGCTGAAATTATGACATTCTGTATGAACGTCCATTTGGGCTAATGGATTGCTGGCAGCAGTCCATCTGAAGCTTAACTGAACTTTTTACCTCTTTCAACCAGCAGGTCAGCGCGCGGTCAAATGGCCGCATGTGGCTGGTGAAAGTATGGCAAGCCATTTTGGAATATAATTGGCTCGTCAGCCTTGCGCGTTCCAGACACAATAAAAAGCCCGACACTGACCTGGCCCGCACATTATTAATGACGGCCTGACCCGGTCCGAATGTGAGTCAGGCGGGGCTGTGCTCTGGGCTCTGGGTTCAGGTTAGAAATGACGGTACTAATTCTGTATGCTTTTAGAGCGTTTAGAGTTTAGAAACATTGTTTAGAATATTGCAAGAGTGTGGGAAGGGTGTGTACACACACAGTGTATATATATATATATATATATATATATATATATATACACTAAAATAAACTACTACTTACTACTTGTACTACTATTTCCTACTTCGCGGTTTTTCACTTGTCGCGGGGCTTCAGGGAACGGATCATCCGCTTTAAACAAGTATATATTTCCAGCCCTGAAAGTTCAAACAAACTCAATTTCTGCGTGTTAGTGAGTTTTTGTCTGTCCCACATATCTGTACAGTCACCTGAATGATTCATTTCACATTTAGTCCTCAGTACATTAAATATTTTAGCTCACGGTGATTATTTTTGTGCATATGATCATAATACACAGTCACACACGTGCGTGTTTTTGTGTGCATTTGTCCTTTAGGAGGTCCAAGGATGGTTCTACCTACTTGGGGAGGAGCTGGGGAAAAAGAAGCATCTACAAATTCCCGCACGGCACAATCACAACACTGGTAGGTTAACTTTATCATAAATCAGAAAACAATGATCACTGAAGCTCAGAATCAATGTTTTGTGAAGCAGCAATGAGAAAAGTGTGTTCTGAATGACCCTGAGCTTGTTTTTTGGTTAAAAATTAAAAGAAGCACCCTCTAGATATCAGTACTTTTGTAGTCTAAGTTCAACACACTGATATGAAATGAGCACACAGGGAAACACTCGTTGCTTTGTTGAATCATTTGTTGGGTGGACGAAGAGCAAACTTGTTTAAGTGCTGATCACTAGTGAATTAATGTTTGGTTTCCTCTGATGTTTCTATAACCACTGGGTGAAAACAAGTCACTGGAGTGGTGGTGGAAATGGTGGTTTTTAGCCCAACAATATCTTGTTCCTCACAAAATCACTTGGTGTAATTTAAATAACTATGTCTACATTAGCTGTGCTCCCAATCCTCTTTATCTGAACAATCAAAGAAACAGAATAAAGAGACCAGCATAATCTGACCTGCAGGGAAGAATATTTTAAGAACAAAGGAAGCAGGGTTAGCAAAGTAGATGTTTGATGGAGAAGTTGCAACAATTGTTTGTAAGGTTGAGGTCAAAGTAAGTAGGGATACAAATCATTATTGCTCCCTGCCAAAAATTACTGCACAAAACAACTTAAGAAAACCAGTTTAACTCTCTTATTCAGTAATGTATAGTTCTGTTATTTCACATTTTCAACAGTTTCCTTCGATTATTTTGTCTTTATTGCATTTAGAAGCACTTTAAAGTAGCTTAAATTGGCTACTTTGTTTTTCAGTCGGGAGGATAATTTTGGATTGTTAAGACTCTGACTGTGACTTTTTTCCATCCTAATTAACATTTGATCTTAAACTGGGAAAACAAAATGATCATAAAGTTATAACATGTATGTAAAGTAGTGGAATTTAAAAAGGAATAAACATATCTCAGGTAAAACAGCTCATATATGTTAAATACATACTATTACCACATGTTTGTGTGCGCTCGGCTCCCTGCTGGATGATTTTCTTTATCAGTCTTCAGACTAGGAGGCGGGCCTGACTGGGCAAGCGAGGGATTAAGAGAGGGAAAGAGAAAAGGATTAGGCGAGCGAATGAGAGGAAAAACTGAGAGAGCGGCATGGAGGGAGGGGTCTGGATGTAACCCTGACGCGTCACAGTTGCCAGAAAGAGAGAATGAGACGGAGCTCTCCTCGACCATTCACTGCTGGCTGGAGTGGATCTCCCCTTACACACAGACACATCTCCCACACACACACACATCCACGCACACACACACACACACCATACACAGACATCTGATTGGACTCTTTTATTTCTTGTCATTATCTCTGGTGGCTTCTTCTTTTCCTACTGATGGCTGTCTTCAGTTGTAGTTGATGGTGGTACTGATGTGAGTGATGGAGTTATGCTTCTCTGTCAGCCATAAGGGCAGCCTAGACTAGGTGAGTACCATGCTTGTGTCAATCTTCTTCACTTTTCTCACCTCACATGGATTTGTTTTAGAAGTTGCACGCGGAATTGCAAAGCAGTAAATCTACAACGTGGACAGTAGTGGTTGGATACAGAGATGCTCTAAACATGCATCCTCATTTGACTTCTTCTCCAGCATTCATCCCCTGCTTTTTGTTTTGCTTTGTTTCTTCTCTTATGTCTCATTCCATTTTTCTTATGCACTTTTATTCTTGCTGGTATTCCATTACTGTAGTTGTTGTAATGCTGTAAGCACAAGACATCTCAGTTCTTATCCACTTCTCTCCTCCTTGGCTAAATTGGACACAATTATTTTCAGTGATAGACCCCTGAAGGTGCTTATCTTACCCACTGAGTGGATTATTGATTCCTGAGCATCAGTTTGACCCTTTGACATAGAAATACTCCACACGCTCTTTCTTTAACTCTCCACAGCCCTAGGCCTCTTCTTGCTAAGTGACTTCTCTGTCCCTGTTTACATAACATTTTTGTTTTTATGAGAATGGTTGGGAATGTTATAAGATGTTAACTAACCCATCCCAATTTAGTTATGCCGCTTGGCTGAACGAGGCTCCTCATGCAACTTTAAAATTAGTTTAATGCTTCTAGATGGAGCTGGACAAGACTCAGCGAGCAGGAAACAAATGGGTACACTGACTTTTACTTTAGGGTTACATGGGCAAATGATCATTTTTACATTTAGATCTGACACGTAAAACGTGTTCATGTCAGAATTTATACCTGTTATTCTTGAGAGAGATCATTGCAGGAAATTTCAATATTAACAACTTTACTGCAAAAATGGCATGCCTTATTGCATTAATAAATGCATAATGTTTTCATCTTTCCCCATGACAATACTGGTCCACTACTGTCTCATCTGGTCTGTGTGCATAGATGTAAGCGTGTCAGTGGAGGATGCATACTCATGCATGCACATGTGCGTTGCCAGCTGGCAGAATATAGGCCATGGAGGCGCTGCTGCAGCATGACATGCACTGACATAGAAATGACTCAAACAGTTATTACAGGGGCACTCAATTTGCACACTGACTCACTGACTTCTTTTGGTTTCAGTCCATTTCTATTTTGTTTGTTCACAGTGATTGAAGAGTGATATGTTTTGCTTTTAAAAAGTTCAGAGTATTTTCTCTGTCGTGTTCATTTCACACTTCCTTTTTGTTTGTATTTTTAATTCACTTAGCTCTTATGCTCTCTCTTCAATATCACTGTTTTTTATTCACAGTGACATATTTGTTAGATTCACTTATTTCTCTTCTTTGGCACTTATTTTTCTGCAAAGTAACTGCAACTGATGTGACTGTCTACTAGTATTTGTTAGCTTTTATGTTTAAGGATAAGTGAGGAAAATTGCTGTCGTACAATTCACTAATTATGAAACAAATTCAAACATTAAAGTGTTACAGATGTACATCTGAAGGTATCAATACACATTTATCTTCATAAATTAGTGCAAAATTGTATTTGTCTTCCTATAAGAGTTAATTACATAATGTAATTCTATAGGTACATTTTCTTAGTTTACCTCAGTTTACTTACAACTGGCCGGTAAATTTAAAGAAAAAATTATATTGCTTTCTATATAACCTTATTTTTCGGACTATAAGGTGCACTTAAAATCCTTTAACTTTCTCAAAAATCAACAGTGAGCCTTATTATCCGGTGCGCCTTATGTATTAATTCTGGTTGTGCTTACTGACCTCAAACCGATTTTATGTAGAATCTATTACAACAAAAATCTATTACAATGTTTTAGTCTCGCTTAATGCGCCTTATAGTCCGAAAAATACAGTACTTAAAATTATATTTAAGTGGTAAGCACTCTTTCACAGTAGAAATCCTGAAATATCTGGACGTAGTAAGTCTTTAATCACGCTCAATGTATGCCTCCTACTTTTTCAGACTTAAGACAAATTTATTATTCTGCTAAATTACTAAAATTTCTCTATATGATACTAAACAGTTGTGATAGCATCAGCTGTCATTTAAAATAAAGATACTTTGACCCTGGACCCAACAACTTAGATGCATAATTCTGAACTGTTTTTATGGGCAAACCCATGGTTCATGCGTGTTTAGGTTAAATTAATGTTTATTCAGTGGTGATCAGTTAATTTTGAAAAATGTTCCTTCTGCAAAGAAAGTTGAGTGAAAAAGCAAACTTGTAAAACTATCAACTATCTTATTGTGATATAATACTCCTGGTAATATTTGTTTAGGTGCTCAGGCAGTGCTGCAGAGTATGAGCAGTAAAGTCGTTGAATTTAAGTGTCTCTTTGTTTATTAGTTTATTAAAAATCTGTTTTTTTGCCAAGAACTTTTTATAGGCAATAATTTAAGCCACTGGTTTGAAAATAGTTTGTTGAGTCAGGATGAACATGATGCCAGTTGCATACTTTAATTTCCCAAAAGAAGAACAACAGTTATTTATTTCATTACACTCCTTTGTGTTAGGTTTAAGCAAATACACGATTAGGATCTAATCTGGGTTTCAGGATGATTAGAAAACAATACAACGGTGAAAAAAAAGTCAAGCCTTTAAGTTTTTTCGACTTAGTTAAAAAAAAAAAAAGATAATTTCTTGTGGATTTATTATTTTTTTTTTAACTTAGCAGCATCTGATATTTATGTTTTTTACTGTACAATATGACATTGCAGTTTCACATAGTTTAATTGCTTGTTTCACACAATCATTTGCATTAATTGGTTTTGTTGGAAAGATCTGTTTACATCTTCATACTGTAGTTTTATATTTGCATTAAAATCCATATTTTACCTTCTGCATAATTCTAGTAATGAAGACAGAAGTCACCACTCTACAAAATAATTTGATTATAAACACATTCAAAACAAACACAAAAATGAGTGTCACATCCAGAACACACTTCCCTACAATGCAAGTCCATTTTATTGCCTGCAGTTTTGCATTTCTGTACCAAACAAAATCAAGAATATTCTTAAGTTTACAGTATGACTAATTAAAATGAGCACTTAATGTTCAGTTTAAAAGCTTTGACCTGCAGTTGAACCTAAAGGCACGGTTCCACAGCAATATTACGGGAAATCCAGCGGCTCTTTGGATAAAGTAGAAACTGCCTTTTATTCAAAATTAACTTTATACAATATAAAAATCACCAATTTGTGCGTCCATTTTACCAAGCCATTGATTTTAAGGCTACTCTGCATTGTTTTGTATACCAATTAGGTATACATTATAAAAAAAATATTAACACTATTTTAAGTGCGTCAGAATAGAATCAGAATAAGCTTTATCATGTGACAAAATACAGTGAAATTATGTTTGTAGTCATCCGAAAGATGGGCAGAGTGCACGTTGCTGCTGCTACTGGAGCACGGCCATTTATCCTTTTTCGGAATACATTTTTAGATAGAAAAGGGGAAAAAGCCACGAGGATATGATAGTGGCATTACAAAAAAAACATTTCTTCACACATTGTCCTATTAGGACACAATTTAAGACATAAAAAACTCTGCCAG